GATCACTGTGCGATGAATCGGTTGATATTGTATCATGCCGGTATTGTGTAATTTGACTTAGTATATCGTCTGAGTGTTGACAGTTCACCACGCTATCCAGGTACGGGTAGTCAGGTGTTGTGGCTTTCGTGTGAGATGTTCCTTAATCTCCATATTGCTTTCGTGTTCCATCCTATTCTTGTTCACATTATTCTCCTTTTCAATATTGTCCACGACATTTTGTGGCATGTTTTGTGCACGGGAATTTGGGAACGGTGTGGTTTGTATGTGTGTTGACTGGTATGGTTTCTAATGTGCGTTTGATGTGTCTGTTTGGGTGTTCTTTTTTGTGGATGTATTGAGGTTTTCGATGAGATGTATTTGGGTTTAATAGTGTGTTCATTTCTGATGATGTTTTGAGTTGCCGTGATTTGTTCGGTTTCTGGTTGTAGCTTGACTTGAGTGTCTAATGTGCGAGTATTATGTTGATTGGTCTTTCGGCCGCGGACGGCCTGGAAAAATTGCATCTGGCGACGGTATTTCACGTCCCCAGTACGGGGTATTGGGAGTAGTTTTCAACTGGCTACAACCTCCCTAAATTTGATAATTTCCTCCCTTTGGGAATCGGAGTATTATCTTGTCATTTTTTGATATCGGTTTACTAGTATATTCAACCGCTACCAGATATTTTCCTGGTCCATTTCGTTTGCCGATTTATGGTTGTATTGCAAATCTTTAGAAGTCGAATTACGCACTTGGTTTCCCAATCTGCCATGAATTATGAATGTTCGCTGGTATATCTTCCGTTCATCTTGTTTTCGATACCCCGGTATGTCTGATTGTCTCACTTGCACTGATTGTTCTCAGTGCCCCAATGCCACATTCCTTTCGATCTTGGTCCCTTTTTTACTCAGTTTTGTTTCGTCCACTTTTCCTAAATACTCCCACTTTATTGTCGAAGCGCGCGTGGTCTTAACGTTTGTACACAGCTGATGAGATTACCGCGAAATAGTTCAATTCAGCACACTTTTCACAACTTAATACTTACTGTGATCATGATGCATCTTCAGGCTCTCATGAAAAGGTTAAAGGGAACTAGTTGCATGGTATCAGTGAATGTTTGTTTGCCCCACTGTGTCTGATTGTACATGACTTTGTTACTCGGTATCTGTGTTTCTTTTATTTGCAATTCGGACTCTGTTTGTACTCCTCTCCGACGAATAAAGGCCAGAAGAAGCGAAAACACCTCGGAAGTTACGGTAACGTTTTTTGCCTGTTTGGACTCGCCTAACTCGTTTGCAGTCCATTTCAATTTGGTGTCCTTCGTCTTCGTTCATCCGGACAATTAAATCATCTGTTTGCACTTAGTCTCTTTGGCAGCTTTTTACTCTTCAAAATCACACGTGTCTTCCAAATTATTACTCCCTATTTGAAATTCGCACAGGTTAGTGAACATTCACTTTGGATGATTCTAATTGAGAGCGTGCGTTGTATATAGTGCTTTCGGATTGTATGGTTGACCGGATGAACTAAATATTTTGAGCGGTTTCCAAGTGAATTATGGTCTGTTTAATTCATTATCATTTTTACCACATCGCTACCCATAGGCATATATGTGTGTAATGCCGATTCCCTGTGTTTATCTCCGTTTCATTATTTTTCTTCTATTACTCGAGAAATTTGAATTGCTCCAGTTTCATTATCCGTAGGAACAAGTTTTTTCTTTAGCCTTTGTGACAGTTACTTTGCATATTTCTTTACTATTTTTTACAGCAATTTAAATCTACATTGGAAATCGTCTCTACGTGCTGTTTCTAGTTAATCACATTCGTTTTTGATCGATGGTCATTGCCTGATTTATTTTTCTAGTCTGATTTCATGGTTATTTTCCTTTGGAATTTCCCACATATTGAATATGGTCTCCTTGTTGTTAGCTTTCCGTTTCTCCACAAAGTTTCATGTACTTGCCTTGGATTTGTTCCTATATTATTCGCTCATAAAGTCTGCATTTAGGCCTTGCTATTCAGCCAATCGCACAACCATGCCTGACCGATCGATACGTCCCTGTCATCTCCATTCTTTAGGTTCCTCAGGAACCAATCATTTTTCAAATGTAAATACCTGTCCTTGAGACTGATTGGATGAGAGAGAAAGGAAACACTTCTT